TTGCTCAGATCAGATTTTTTGTTTGGCTGTTAACATTATTTTTTAACTCCAGAGATCGGTCACGATATGACTTGTAAAGTTTTGCTTGTACAGAAGTGTCACCCCCATACTAAGTTTCACCCCCCTATACTTATGAGGTCTAACGTCTCACTGTCCCTCCACTGACAGCCTCCATCGCAGTTGAGAATTCTCCTGTAAATTAGACCTGAATCTGATTTGGACCACATATGAAAGTGACCTAAATCAGAATTGGACAAGATCAGAAAACCCAAAACTGAGTCAGCTATGAGCAAAAAAAAAAAAATCAAGATTTGGGCCACTTTTGCCTGTAGTGTGAACATAGCTTTAGAGTTACTATTTATTTATTTAAGAGAGGGCAAGGTAAAGCAATAAGACACTAGTAATACTTCTCTCCTTTTTCATATTAGCAACATTGAACATTGAGTGAAATTCGTCCCTCTAATGCAAAACACAAGTGCAATACACAAATCACCACTTAGTTTTAATTTGCTAGCTGGGATTGAGAAAGCGCTGTAAAAATCCAAAGACAATAGTTTTATTACACTAATACTAATACATCGAAACAGTTTATTTTATTCAGCTCTATTTAAATATTGAGGTAGCTTATGTAAATCAAGGTCAGTAAACAAATGTCTTGTTTGTGTTGGGGTGAATGGATGAAGGGGTTCGGTCATACTTGCTGAGTCCATCATTCTCAGTATGAATGGCTCACTTTTACAGATCAATCTGGTTGATACTTACGCTTAGAGTAAACAAGTTTGTTGATTTGATTTTGGGAAGTAAATGTCATCTACCTCTGGTTTGTTCCTGACTACAGTTAGTGAATATATAATTAGGTATGCACTGATACCACTTTTTTTTCAGACCAAATACAAATACAAGTACATTTGGTTACTTGCCACTACAGAGTAGAGATATGAGTACTTAATAATACCATTACAGCCCTTACAATTACTTTGAAAACATTATTATTTTCATCGGATGCTCCTTACTCTTCTGACTGTAACAAATTAAATGTTTTAAAAGTTGCCTGCTGACATTTCTTCTCCTTCACCTACCACCAACAAGAGGTTATCAGACGTCATGCTGCTGTAAAGTGCTATCGGATGAGGTATCAAGAGTAGTTTCATGATTACAATTATGAGCACATGAGCACTGTATCAAACCTGATGCCAGATGGTATTGGTGCATCCCTAGATATCATATAAATCAGATTTTTATATAAAATATCTAGCCAAACTATCAATATATAATTTGGTAGTGACAGGAGTCACTTTGTAGAAGTGCACAGTCTTTGCGTCAAATTGTCAAAATGGTCAAAACAAAACAAACCTGGCTTTTCACTAATCAAAACCTAACCAAAGATTGTTAAACCTTAAAAATAGACAGAGAGAGATGTTTGTGGCCATAATGCACTGGCATGCTATGAAAGGTGAGACCACAAACTATGAACCCATAGATAGACACTCACGCAGGCGACCATAGTTGGCAGACTGCTGTTTCATTCGGAGGTCCTCTGTGGATCGGTTAAAGTTGGCCATTGACCCTGGACCTGGACCCGGACCCGGTCCACCTCGGGACCCCACATTCCGATCTGGCAAGGGAAACGGAAACAGACACAAACAGCAACAGAGCGGTCGGAGGTGATGCTTTATGATTTATCTAGCAGTATGTGCACTGCCCGGATGAGATGAGGAAATGCTACAGCGGTAATTAACTCATAAAACATTAATACATCCCCTGTGGAGGATATGAGCCTTGTTGACTGCAGGAGTGCGTTGATTCATTTACCAAGGGAGTCAAATATATGCATAATGAATTTCTTAGAGGCTGCAAAATTATAAATAGGACCAGAATCACTAAAGATGAAAAAAAAGAAAAGAAATTGCTATACGTATCTCAGGGACACAGGGTGATATTTCATGTGATGGTATGTCATTATACATGCTTTCCAACATTGTATGTAATATCATTAATCATAGACGTGATAACTGAACTCATAATTATTGTTTTGTCACATTTGTTGTAGGTTAGTGCACTCTCATCCTAAAGGGAATACTCTTCCCATAATGCAATCATTTTTTCTTACAGCTAGATGAACATTTCAGAACTGGACACTCACTGGTGGAAGAGCTGGATTTCCCAATGTCGGCTAGGGAGCGGTGGATGGGCTTTTTAGTCTGGTGTCGATGTTTCCTCAGCAGGACAAAAGTGATCTTCTCTCGTAGCTCAGGAGATATCATGCCTTCCTCTATTTGTCTCTCAATGATGTCATCTGGAAAAGGACACATTTATATTTCACATTGGAATATTTGACATAGGGTTGATCCAGTGTGATCCAATTTGAAGTGTTCCCGCATTGTAGTTTGTTACCATATTATATACATTACGGTCTATGTAGAATGTATAAACTTAATATCTACAGTCCTGTGGAGAAGACATGGCTAGGATTATTACTGTCATTCCCAAGATTTGACCTCAGTAGTATAGAGCAGTTCATAATACTGAGTACATTTCATAAAACTGTTAAAATGGTCGCCAAACGGCATATCCAAATGCCCTTTAACAACATATACAACGTCCTGTGATAGTGTCAGACTACAATTTAAAACTTGTGAGTTTAAGTGGCACTAAAGCACAGTTGGGTTTCCGTCCTGAGATTGGGCGATGCAGATCCTCCAGACTCCATGAAAGCAAGTGTTGGGCGTCTCATATGAATTAACTCAGAATCTCTGTGTATACATCATTGTCATAATGTCCATTTGCTGGAGAAGTCCACACGGAAAACAGGACTACTAAATTAGTAACCAACATAACACTCATAACAACAAGGTCCCACTTAGTTATAATCACTTTAGAGACACCCAGCATACTGGAGATCAACTAAATGAAGTCAAACCCATCAATTAGTTGAAAGCAACAGAATTAGTCAAAATTCCTATAAAAGCCTGTTTTACACCCTTGTCTACTGTCCCTGGGGAGACTACAGATGAAAACCAGCCCCTTGGCTAATGCTGGCATATTTACATTAATTGTTATTACTAACCTAAAAAATAAACCTTAAAAAGTAAGCTATTTTCCAGAATATGTGATAAAACTGTAATTATAAATTTTTACCCATCACTTGAACAACATTGTGGTATGTATGCATATTGAAACCGCAATTTACTATGTGGAGCTTCCAGTGGTTGTTTAATTTGGCTGAAAACTGGGAAATACTACAATTGTTGCCATTGATCCTTTTGCTATTGATTGTTTGATTGATTTATTGACCACTCCATCCTGATGCATGTGCAGCTTCCGTTTTGGCCTGTGGTCAGTAGTATGGGGAAAGTGGTAGAAGCATGAGTTGGCAGATGTGTCACTCTCTGTAAATGTTTCAACATTTAACAACCATAGAAGCTAAAAGAGGTTGTTATGGTACAAGAATATTCACGCAATATTTAACTTTTACCTTTTAACTTTTAGAGTAGTTTATGTAGGTTAACACAGTGGAGTGACACAGTAGTCTACACTGTCTGAAAATAGCTGAGTTAGCTAACTAGCAAGCTAGCAAAGGGACCATGAAGTGTTTATATTGATTATAATGTAGAATACAGTCAGCAGAGATAAGGCTGTTGGTTCATAAACGCTGGGATAAGTTATTTAGAAAAATCAAAATCATGATTCCACAGCAGCCATAAAGACAACATCATTATCTAAGTTAGGCAATAGAGTAAGATTTAAATACAAAAGTGTCACAGCAGGAAAAACACAGCTGTAGCTGATAAAATGAATTAACTTAACAATATGTGAGTCATTTAGAAAGCGCCGTCTTTTGATACGCAAAGGCTAAATCTAATGTAGGATTACTTTGAGGTACAGGTGTGTCCTGAGTCACTAAAAATGGTATTTCACGTACATTTACAATGTGGCATTTTGAGGTTTTTGTATAGAACACTATTTACACCAATGTGACGGGACAAAAAAGGTTTCTGTAAGTCTTTATAATGAGAAACTTAAAATATTGACTTCCCGTCACATTGGCTGAAATGGGCTTCTATAGTTTTGAGATATAATAATTTAACTTTGGGACAACCATACTGTCAATGGGGACAACCTAGAAAACAGCTCACTTCCTGCACAGTAAACTAAACTAGACAAGAGTTTGGTTAGCTAACAAGATACTAACTAACATACTTTACAAACTAACATTATGTTTACACAAAAAGGCCCAACTGTTGCCTCAATAGCTGAGAGACATTAACATAGATTTAAACAGTGACTGCTGAATTCTGACAGGACATCTCACCAACTATCTGAGGCAACGAGTAGCCTTCCAGGTCCAGCAGCACAGTCCCCGTCTGGAGACACGTCCTGAGCTCAAAGAGACTATGCAGGGACAGTGTGGACACGTGTGGTTTACTCCACCTTTCTCCTCCCTCCTCCACCTTCTCTTCGAACTTCACCCACCTGAAGGCAGCAGGACACACAGAGAAGAAACAGGTGAGGAATACACATCTGTCGAGATTTCTTTGAGCTTGGTGCCCACAGCTGAGTAGATGTCTGTGGTTTGAGCTGGCAGCTCACAGGCAACACACTGCTCAGTGGTGTGGCTATTACTGTATGTTAAAGAATCACTTTTATGGCTTTCCCCAGAACCAACAACTCTTATATCTCTGCCCTGATCTCAGTTTGATCTTCCAGCACTCCAGTCTGGCAATGCCATTATTTTCACTTCAGTTTGTGTGTGTTCTGAGGGTTTAAGTTTGCATTAATTTGAGCCAGACAGTGCTTCCTACATTGTTGATTGGGTTTTCTGAGTTGTCCTTGGTCCTTACTTCTAGTTTTCAAACTAGACAGCTTTTTTGAAACATTAAATTCCATCCAATCTAACAAAATCAGTTTCTGAATAAAATAAATTGGTTTGATAGATTAGCCATGTAGTCAGAAGATTATGCTTCATTTTAAATCTGCAATCGACTTATTGTAGCAGCAGATCTTGTCAAAGCATGAAAAATTCAGGTTGTGGGACTAATAACATTAATGATGACTCCCTCACGTTTAATCACCTCAGTAATTAAATGTATATATACATTGCGAGACGGTTAAATCGTGATGCAAATATGTGAAGATTAAATTTGATGAGATGAAAAATGAATCATAATACTCTTTAAACAGCTGAGGGTGCTATCTACTATGGTCTTGTTTTACGTACTACATTATTCATATCAGCAGCTGTATCAAGCTGCAAAGTCATAATTTGTCTTCAATCTTACACCTAAATTGATTGCAGCCATTGTTAGGCTGTCTGATAGGAGACATTTTGTGTACAGAAAGAAAACTTTAGAAATGAACAACATTTGCATATTCATATTATATAAATATTTAATCAGGTAGAAGGAATAGATTATTTTTTTGAAGGATTTTAATGTGTAAGTTATAATTTTTTTGCAAAAAAAAAACTTTTGTGTTCCAAGCTGACTATTTTTATATGTCTTAATACATATACTGTGTTTAACAAAATGTGTGCAGGGAAAATGGTCTAATTTTTATACTTCTTCACAAGTTTCAAAAGGGAATTTTGAATCACATCATAATCTAAACAGAGTTTGCTGAATAGTCTGACTGATATGTTTTTGGACGGACTGAATCATTTGTCAAGTGGATATACGAGCGGACTGTGTCTAGATTTTGTTCGTGCGAGTGTTTGTGGGTGTAGTCATCCACCTAGCAGACTCCTTCCACTCCAGCTCATCTCCTTCTCGCTGTAGAGTGTCCATCTCGGTGAAGAGCGTCGGCGTGGGCATGTCATCCTCTTCATTTAGGATGTAACGTAGCCGCTCTGCTGCCGGAGACACTTGATGGAATGAGAGAATTTGTAAGATAATTTAAGAGTTTTAACAGGCTTAAAAAGCTTTCCTAAAACATAATGTTAAAAAGAAAAAAGTAAGTACATGGCTTTCATGTGACCTGTAAGCTCTGTAAGCCTACAGCTTCTCTCCCAGACAAACAGGATGTCCCTTCTCCTTTGCTGAGAGATCAAATCAACTGACCTGTCTCTTATGAATGTAAATAGTGATCTCCAGTAAATTAATTTCATCACTTACACCTAGTTTACAACCAGCTGTAGACTGCTGTATATCATTCCATGCATTTCCTCTCCTGCACCAGCAGTAATGATCATAGTATTGAAGCCTACGTCCAGATCACACGCTACAACCTGATTATAGGTATTCAATCATGGGCCTCCTGTATGTACAATCAATTTCATTGCTGTATGGAAGTGAAATTGGACCCCATGTTCATGAATGGCACTGCAGGGCAATGAGCTATCAGCTGGCCATAGTGCAGCTGACCTATGGACTGAGCTGTATGGTAATTACTGTACGGGTGAGTCAATTATATTGAAGTGCTTTATTGACAGCATCTAACAGTTATTTCCACTAAACCATGCAAAACCAGAGGAAAAATGTGTCGAAATACAACATTCAGGAGCATTTATACCTTTCTGACAACATATTTAATGTAGAGTTTGCCATCTAGAGCACAAACTCCCCCAAACCCAGTAAAGACTCATTAACTACTTTCGCTGTTAAAGAGACATGAGCACAACTTACAAAAAATGGATTTAGTAAGTTATTTCAACAAAAAAAAAATGTAAATCAATTACATGGAACATTTTAAGCAACATTAACTCAATTTTGTAAGTTAAAAACATTCTTAAATAAACACTTTTGTGTTGTTTTATTGTACATCTTTATTGTCCCTGCTATTATCCTCCTACTGCAAATGGCACTATATGCATTATTAATATTCATGTTCTAGGGCCCACCTGCTCCAAAGTACTGTATTTGTGAGTGCATACAGTCCAGAAAAAGTAAACACCTCTGCTGCCATGCCACTGATTGCACCACATTGATTTAGCAAGGTGGACAACCTTTCCTAACCAAAGCCTTTGACAGCTAAAGCAGCAGTGTTCTGCCAGGCTGCTCATTACTCTAACCTGAAACAGAAGCTACACACTCACAGGCTGTGTTTCAGACTCCTGCTGTTCACTGTTACAACTGCTGGAAGGAAGAAAAATCTAATCAAAAGCATGAGGTAGGAGAGCACAACAAAATTGTAATACATGACACAGTCTGGTTCATGTCTGTCTTTAAGTATAGTCCCTGGCAGCTGTGTGCAGAAAATATGTTCACCAGACTTCCCTTGAGTTATTTTAAAAAGAGTGCATTACCACTCAACAGGAGGCTGAAGTTTTATTATAGGCTATTCATATGTTTTTCTTAATAAACGGAGCAGACCAAGAGTTTCCTATTTTTTTCCAATAATATCCTTTAGTGCAAAATCTATCAAAAATGCAGTTGCAGACCAGATCTATTACCAAGCTCTGGCATGGTCCCTAAGGGTGTGCTCCAGCAGATTACTATTACTAATTAATAACATGGGGGATTTTTTGGAAAGAAAGAAAAAACGCTGAATCCTACATTTCTTATAATGCAAAGCAGTACTGTCTTTCATTAGATAATCACTGATTTCTAAACAACCATATCTTCAAATTCCACATGCCACAGGCTTTATGTTTTGCCCAAAACCCGAGCTGAGATTACCCTGATGACATCATCAGGGTTATGTTCTCAGATTTGATATTCTTTATTCTTTATTCTTAAACTGGATCCCCATTAGCTTCCACAAAGTGGTCGCTAGTCTTCCTGGGGTCCACACAAAAACAATAACAATAAAAACAAACAACAATTTAAAATCACAGAGTATCTGATAGAGCTCCTCCAAAGCCACACTATACATTATACAGCTGTTTGCTGAGTATTGCTAACCTGGAGGCAACACGTTTTCACAATTTATCAAATCTGCCGCTTGGTCAGTGGCCCTCCGCTTCCAAATTTGACACTCTAGGTAGGTTGTTTCCTTTTGGTTTCACACCAGACACACACACCGGTCTCCTGGGTTAAAGTCCTCTGTTTGTTTTGTGAATGTGGACTTTCTCACTCTTTATACTACATCACCTGACCTCGACGGCGGGCGCATCCAGAAATTAGCTAGTGGCAGAGGGCCACTGACCAAGCGGCAGCATTTGACAACTTAGGAGTGAGACCTGGTTGTTGGAGGAGTAAAATGCCTTTGACATGTAAAATTGGCGGAGTGCCTCTATTAGATCCTGTTGAATGTATGGGTATGAGAAAAGGCTGGTTTTAAGTAGCCTCATGAATTGAGATTCAAACACTACATTAATCTTTAGTTTTGCAGAAGCACCCTGATTGCAGCACAGTGATTGACTGACAGTCAGAAGCAGGATACAGGTGAAAACTGACCAGGCCTCAAGTTAGAATGATTTGAAGCCTGCCCTTATGAGATGACTGTTTCAGCTGTTTGTGGAGGTTCTTGCTCTGGCTCTCTGGCCTCTGACTTACTTGTGCGGTTGATGTCTTGGAGACTCTGCTCGTTAGAATCCATAAGTCCTTCCTCTATGTCTATGTCTCTGTAGCGGTCGTGCTCGTGGTGTCTGTGGTGGCTGTAGCGTCTGTCCCTGTCCATGTCAGCAGCCTCACGACTAGAGCGCCTTCGCCTGCGTTTGCGTCGATATCCTCGAGGCACTGGGACGCCAATGTAGATGGACTGATGGTCTTGGGACAAAAATGGATGGTTCTTGTGTGGTTACATGAATTTGCACAATCATACAAATGGTTGCACTCATTTAAATGCAATAGTGGCAATATGGGTATATACTTAAAAAACAAGCTCTAATAAGACCACAGTTATTCCAAAATAAATTATTTAAATAAATGAAAAGCCCGAAAATGGTTGACTGACAGCCAGCAACACTGGCAGATTGTCTAATGAGATCTTTCATTAATCCCTCCTATACTCAGAGGAGTGTTTTCATGAATGTTAAATCACTTTAACAAACCCAAATACATTATGCTTCACATCATGTCTGCTTATTAACAACAGCAGCATTCCCTGCTACAGCCACCAATAAAAGCAGATCAAGTCTATTCAGAATCAATCAGTCCTGTAGCTTTCCTGTGATTTAGCGTATGGCCTGTATAATCCCTGTTTTGCAACAAAAACCTGGATGATGTGAGCTTGATCATCTGCTGGCAATTAAGGTGTCACTTTAAAACTAATTGCCCACAAAACTCCATGTGGAATAACTAAACAACAGGGAGACGCAAACCAATATTGGAGGTTTGGAAAAAGAACAGAGCCAGTTAACCTTCTTCACTCCTCATTTGCAGCCCATTAACAGCATTCACCAACACAAAATCTCAGAAGAAATTAGAAACTATAAGTTAGTGTGATGAATCAACCGTCTCATGATAATATTAAGAAACAAAGTGGGTGTTATGACTTAATGTCCTGTTTCTGTTATCAGAGGTCCTGTGTATGATAGATCTACCGCTGATGTGAACCACACACTCACCCTCCTCATCCTCATAGCGAAGGTGAGAGACGCCCATCCCTCTGTCTCCATGCTCCATCCTGGTATAGAGGAAAAGAGGCAATGTTTGGGCATTATTTCAAACAGTGAAACAAAGTGAAAAGACCCTTCAGGTATGTGAAACATTAGACTGTGTTGTGCTATGTATGCACCTCCTTTTTCATGTCATTGTACATATACTGTATGTTAGTGTTGTCATTTTTTTTACACGTGCATGTGTGTGTCTATTTCTGGGACGTGACCCTCCATCAGCAGCAACTGTTACCCTAACATGCAGGTCA